TGAAGGCTAACTCATCGACCTGGGAAAGAGCAATTGCTGAGAGGTACTTAGAGTAGTTAGTGTATGTCTGTCAGAAGTTACATGAGTAGTCTAAATATAAATGCTAGATCTTTTTTGTGGATTAATTCTGATTTTGCATTCGTCAGAGCAGGTTTTGGTGGAGCCTATTGGTAGGCGTTGATTGGTGGGATGCTGTTGGCTGCACGCAGAGTGCTGCTGAGGACGGCATTGGTATGAATATTTTTGTTTTATGTGGGTGTGGGTAATAATAATAGAAGTGGGCAGGATTGTGAAAGCTGGATGCTTTAGCTTTATCCTGTGTTCACAGGGATAATGGATAGGAAATAAAGTAAAGGAGAGGATTAGTGTATCTTCATTTCTTACTGATTCTGTTCTCCTTTTACAACTTGCATAATAAGCATTTTTCTCCTGTGTATTTTTTCTTTCTCCTTTTGTTTCTTGTGCATTAATATCAAATTTACCTCCCTTCCTTTCAGTTTCACTGAACAGTGTTATCGCGGTCTTGGATGCGGATTTTCATTCTCTTCCTTCCACTCAGCATCGGCAACAATATGGTCCTGTATGTTCCTCTGGAATTTTCATCTTAACACCATATTATATTTTATCTTGTAATAGTCAGTTTAATTATGACATCTTGAATTAAATTGGTGACAAAGGAGCCTGTCACTGCATTCTCTTGAACCATCACCACCTCTAGATGTTATTGTTATTTGTTTTGGAACAGTATCTTATGATTTTCACTGTCCCAGTTAATAATGTGAGATAAGTGTCTTTATTTTGCTTTAAATGGATTTGCAATATATATTTTTGAATGCTCCTTGGTGTGATGTTGATCTTGGGCTTTTGGGTCTAAAACTTGGCTGTTGGCTATCTTAATTTTTCTTTTTTTGATTTGATCATTCCTGTACTAGTTATTAAACCATCAGTTGCCATCCACATTGATCTTCTGTCACGTGAATGCCACTATATTCTTTACCTACAAAAACTCGTGCATTATAATTACATGTGCTGTTAGGATGAAACTTATTTGGTTGACTAGATGTGATTTGTATGGTGCAGAGCCTAGACAGAATAAAGTGCAGGCTTCTGGAAGGTACAAATGCTCAGGAGGTTAGGGCAATGGTTTTAGATATGCAAGCAAGATTGCTTCTTGATATGCTGGGCAAAGGCATTGAATCAGCTTTGATAAATCCTTCAGCTCTAGTGCCTGAACCATGGCAGGCTTCTGGGGAGACATTATCAAGCATTGATCCAGAAGCCATGGCTGTTGAACCGAACCTTGTTCCAAGTATCCAGGTTTGCTTTTGGCTCTTTACGGACTTCCTTTTCTGATGTTTCAAGTACTGAAAGTTGAGATAGTGAAGATTCTCTGATGCTACTAATTTGGGTTAATTTGTAGTGTGAATGTTGCATATAATGTAACAAGTCTTTGCATTGCTACTGCATTTTTTCGTTCTCTCCTTTTTCACTTTCTGAAGATATAACTACTGTTATGGGTTGTGAAGTATGGAATATGAACTGGTCTTTATCATTGACTGAGGTGGTGATGTACCCACTGTCTCAAAATGTTCTATTTTTGTTTGTCTTCTCAAACTTGATGATGTGATGCAGGCCTATGTTGATGCAGTTCTTGATCTAGCTTCACATTTTATCACACGTTTACGGCGTTATGCAAGTTTCTGTCGCACATTGGCGAGTCATGCAGTTACTGCTGGAACTGGCAGTAATCGCAGTGTGGTGACTAGTCCCACCCAAAGTTCAGCATCTCCTGCAGCAAGTCAGGGTCTGTATGCTTTGGTGCCTTGTATTTCAATACCACAAAATAAAGATAGGAAAATGAATAAATGAACTGCCAACTTAATAAAATAAATAAGTGAGAAAACTTCCATTCTCTTTCTCATTTTGATTAACTTAGGATGTCCTCTAATAGTGATACTATGCTTTCCAGGTGGTCAAAATGGTACTACAAGTTCTACAGGAAGTACTCAGATGCAAGCTTGGGTACAAGGTGCTATTGCTAAGATTAGTAGCACAAGTGATGGAGTGTCCAATTCAACTCCAAATCCCATAAGTGGCCCATCTTCCTTCATGCCAATAAGCATCAATACTGGAACTTTTCCTGGAACACCAGCTGTTAGGCTTATTGGTGACTGCCATTTCCTTCATAGATTATGTCAACTTTTGCTTTTCTGTTATTTCTTTCGGCGAACACAACAACTCCCCCGTTTTATTGGGGGTGCACAGAGAAATCCAGATTCAAATATGCAAAAACCTCAGCCTGGTGCTCCTGGCAAGGTGGAGGAAGGCAACTCTGTTTCTTCTAAACTGGCTCCAACAATGGTAAGATCAGATGAAGGTCAGGCTGCTCGAGGTGCTCAGCTTGTACCTGGAGTGAAAGGAGCTGAAGATGGACCTGCCGGGCGGTCAAGATTGGGTTCGGGCAATGCTGGTCAAGGATACACTTTTGAGGAGGTATAAAGGGGTTGCTCTACTTCTACGTTTACCATATTGCTTTGGAGTTTTTATTTTCTTATCTTGCTAAAGACCCATTTCATCATTTCTAAGCTGAGGTTTGGGCATTGCAGAACATTTGGATGGGACATAGCTGCTAAGGATCTGATTAGTTTACCCTAGTTTGAAGCTTCATGTGCTGGTTTTTTGCAGGTGAGGGTCCTTTTCCTCATACTCATGGATCTTTGTCGGCGGACATCTGCTCTGGCACATCCATTGCCAGTTTCTCAAGTGGGAAGCGGCAACATCCAGGTGCGGCTGCATTATATTGATGGGAATTATACTGTATTGCCAGAGGTTGTAGAAGCATCCCTTGGCCCACATATGCAGGTATCCATGTTTATGATTTAATTTAGACAAAAGCCATGGATTTTCAGGGAGCAAATGAGATTTGCTCGCTCTTATTTAGATTTGGTTCTAAGTGTTAACTCGATCTGGTAAAATTGATCTTTCTGTTTCTATAAATGGGAATACACAGAACATGCCCCGCCCCAGAGGTGCAGATGCTGCTGGGCTATTGCTCCGTGAACTAGAACTCCATCCTCCATCTGAAGAATGGCACAGGCGAAATATGTTTGGTGGCCCCTGGTCTGATTTAGAGGATACGAGTTCTGCTGATGATACTCCTAGGCAGAGTAGCTACACAGATTCCCTTGATTTCAGCTCGTTGGAAAATTGTGATGTGTATTGTGGTGTCAATGGCCTATGGCCAAAGAAGCGCAGAATGTCTGAAAGAGATGCAGCTTTTGGCTTGAATACCTCTGTTGGCCTGGGAGCATACCTTGGGATTATGGGATCTCGAAGAGATGTTGTTACTGCAGTGTGGAAGACTGGTCTTGAAGGGGTTTGGTACAAGGTCAGTCCCATTTTTTCTTCCTGGTGTCGTCTTGTTCCTTTTTTCCTTCGATTGATTGTAGGCTCTTTTTATGTTTGCTTGTCTACTTTTGCTGTTTGGTAACTTTTGCTTGAGCTCAACTGAATAAGAACTGCAGCATTCGCAAGTTTCATATCTAGTACCTGAAATTATGTAATAAATTCGTGTTAAAGTTCTTATCCAAAATAAGTTGCTGCTAGTAGCTACTTATGAATCTTGTTTCTGATATTCTATATCCAATTCCAAATTCACCACAAGATGCCCGAAAAAGCAAAATTCAAACAACTCATTTATAGTCTCTGCATCATCAATGATCTCTTTTTCTTTACTCCTTTTTGTACTGCTTCTCTTAAATTATTTACCTTTTCTACCTTCATTTGAATTTCTATGTAGCATGTGTGAAGTATTTGTCATCTACGTTCAATACTTATTCTATTACTATCCAGTCTATGCACCTGCTTGTGGTCTCTAATTGTTTTTCCTACTCTTATGATGTTGATCAATTTTGGTGCAGTGCATAAGATGTCTCCGGCAGACTTCAGCTTTTGCTTCCCCAGGGGCTACAAGTCCACCGAATCAAAATGAGCGGGAGGCATGGTGGATCAGTCGTTGGGCCTATGGCTGTCCTATGTGCGGTGGAACGTGGGTTCGAGTTGTATAGACGAGATTGTTGATTGTGCTTTAATTAAAAATGTGGGTTCATTCTCCACTCTCACATCAAAACAAATTCTTGACTTGTGTACATATGAAAAAAAAAAAAAAAAGGGGTTTTCATAATGTTGGGCCTTCTTGTCTGATTGGTGATGATGCAGCAGATCGACATGTTCTATGGATATTTCTAGGACAGGCATGCAATGCGAGACACATCGGACAGGCATTATGAGAAGTCCCGCGCGATATAAAATGTGTTTGGGTCGGCAGTTGCTGGTTGGAATTTGCAAGTGATGATGATTTACAAGTTCAGAATTTCGGTGGAATTCCAAGTTCGGTTCAGGAAATAATTAGTTTTTTGTACAGTTATTGTCGTTTATTGTACCATAACTCCATCCCTTTCATTGAGAAGCGGTTGTGTATTATAGAAAATGAAAGATTTAGCGAGGTTAGCATAGCATGTGTAGGTTGAGTAAACAAACGCAATTTTGCATTACGCTTGAGAAATTGTTCTACTATATAGCCTGCTGAAGTTTATGATCTAGCTACACAATTATGTTGAGGCTTGACATAAGGCCTGCTCCTATCAACGAGTATAACGATTGATCAAACGACCGGACATTCGTCCTCTCCCTCAATACTGTCTTTTTTTTTTTTTTTTTTTTTTTTTTTGTCCTTTTCTATTTGCTCCATGGATGATAAAACATTAAAACAATCCATTGTTAGAAGCTTGTCGTTTCAAATTCAATGTTTAAACGACTGGGGTGTCCAGGCTCCGGGTTGGAGCAACGCGAAACGACTTATTTTTTCAAATAAGAATTTGTTTGGGCCTGTTATCACTATATTTTCCTCAAAAACGACAATTAACTACATCGTCGTTTAACTTACTGATTTGGGGAGAGTAGTGGGACCGTTAGAGACTAGGAGTATGTTCTTAACACCTTCTTCGACTTACTTTCCAGCTTCTGCATCTCCGGTCACCATTCCTCCTCTCCTCCAAATTTCTCATACAATTGTTTAATCAACCATTCAGTTTCAAAATCCCACTGTGAACGAGGGAGAGAAGAATCATGAGCACAACGCAGGGGACGCACTCGCTAGCCTTCCGTGTTATGAGGCTATGCAAGCCTTCATTTCACGTTGACGCTCCACTCCGTGTGGACCCGGCCGATCTCATTGTCGGCGAGGATATCTTCGACGATCCCATTGCAGCCTCACGGCTTCCTCCTCTTATTGACGGCCAGGTTTCCAACCTCACCGACACATCCGATCTCACCTATCGCACCAGATTCCTCCTCCAACACCCTTCCGATTCATTTGGTCTCACTGGTCTCCTCGTTCTCCCTCAAGCCTTTGGGTATAGTATCATATAATGTTCTCATTCTTAATTTACTTTTTTTTTTTTTTTTTTTTTTTTTTTTTTTTTTTGGATTGGCCTAATTTATTCTTTTTTTCAGGGCTATTTTTTTTTTTTTTTTTTTTTTTTTGGATGGCTAATTTAATTCTTTTTTTCAGGGCTATATATTTGGGGGAGACATTTTGCAGCTATATTAGCATCAATAATAGTTCTAATTTTGAAGTTAGGGATGTTATAATCAAGGTGAGTTCAGTTTTTAGTATGTTCTATCTTTTATCAACTCAGTTGATAATTAAGTTTGTCTTTAAATGTAGGCAGAAATCCAAACAGAGAGGCAGAGGATCCTGCTACTAGATACTTCAAAAACGCCTGTAGAGACAATACGTGCTGGAGGACGTTACGATTTCATTGTGGAACACGATGTGAAGGAACTTGGAGCTCATACGTATGTTGAATCTATTTCGTGGTGAATGTAAGTGGATTCAGATGTTATTAATTGCAAAGTTCTTTCTAATTTGGGTGTTATGTGGCATTACAATCTTTAGGTTGGTCTGCACTGCTCTTTACAATGATGGTGATGGTGAGAGGAAATATCTTCCGCAGTTTTTCAAGTTTATTGTCGCTAATCCACTTTCAGTTAGAACAAAGGTACAGTACGTTACTCACAGTGCTTGGCATGTATAATTTGCTTACTGTTGATAAAATTTATTCTGCAAATGGAATCATCTTGATCAAAATGACTACATATAATTAACACCAAAAGTACCATTATTTCCTGGTGTAGCATTTTTCATTCTCCATCAGTTTGATTTAAAATAAACTCCCAGTCTAATTACCTTTTTTTTTTTATTATTGTGCAGGTCCGTGTTGTCAAGGTATGTTCAGCTTGACTACATTTTGTATTGTAAGTTTTTGATCCTTTTCATAGAAAAATGCTGATATTTTTAGATTTCACTAATGAAGATTGTATGTAAATGTTATTAACAACGAAGTTAGCCATTACAATTAGATTTCCCTATTTTGATATGTTTTCATTGTTTAGATCTTGGTAATCTTGCCTGTTTTCGAAGTTGAAATTGATCCTTTTTTCTGTTCTCTTAAATTCCCTCTTTTTCCTCATAAATAAAGGAAAAAAATAAGACGAAGAAGAAGAAGCCCAAGTGCTGGCTAAGCAGTGAGGCAATGATTAAGAATAATGTATGCATCATATAGCTGGCTAGAATGCATATTTTTATTTTGGGTATAAAATCTGTAGATATAGATAATAGGAGGGGGGAAGTCCATCAGTGCAATGTTTGGTTTTGTAAATGTTAATCTTTGACAAGTGCAGCTAGGTTTAGCTTCATTGAATATTTCACTGGACTTTTATGCTACTCTTGACCTAAGATGAATTAACAATGTTGTTTTAAGTTATGTAGCGTTCCCAAGCAGCATCACTTGAGCTCATTGTCCCTTACTGCTTTTAACTGTTTAGCATTGTCATGATTCAATGATTCCTTAGTAGAATTTGTATAAGTATATTGACATCCATTTCAATTCTGTATCATAAGTTATCAAGTTTTCCTAAACCACTTTGGCACTCATTCTATTTTATTAATCCATGCTGTAACTGCTGCATCTTCCATCTCAGGAAACTACATATTTAGAGGCATGTATTGAAAATCATACAAAAACAAGCCTTTATATGGACCAAGTTGAGTTTGAGCCAGCTCAGTATTGGAATGCACAAATACTGAAAGCTGATGACAACCAATCTGAGAAAGATTCTCATACCAGGTTTGTATGGTCATAATTTTTGGGATAGGTACTATCAATTTAGCATGTTCTTCTTATTATACTTCATTTTGACTAATTTCATTTGGTCATATATCTTCTGTAATTATTATTGCAATTGATCTTACGTCATTTGTATTTTGCTCATCATCATATGTTGACAGGGAGACATTCAAGACTCCTATCCTCATTAGATCTGGTGGAGGGATCCGCAACTATCTTTATCAATTAAGATTTTCATCAAATGGTTCTGCTCAGAGTAATGTTCTTGGCAAGCTTCAAATAACATGGCGTACAAATTTAGGTGAACCTGGTCGACTGCAGACACAACAAATTCTTGGCAATGTAAGTTTGTCTCTGTATTTATAAAAACGAGGAAGCATCATCTCTGTGTTGACATATCCTACACACACTTACAATACTTTTTAACATATCCATTTATTGTATAATTCCAATATGTTCTTTTTGTTGCTTAATTGATGACTTACACGCGTAATTACAGTTAGAACAAAGTTATGGCTTCCCCTTTTCAGTTCATTGTATAGGAGCCAAATAGGACATGCAATATTGCAATTTACTGAATATTTTTGGTAGCTTGCTCATATTATCATGTTCTATTGTCCTGCCTGCCTGTGCAAGCATCAAACATCAAAACAAATTGGATATTGTTGTACTTAGTCTCTATAACTTCCTTCTACAGCCCATAACACAGAAAGAGGTCGAGTTGAGTGTTGTGGAGGTTCCATCTGTCATCAACTTGGATAAACCCTTTTCGGTAATTGCATTTCAATTTATACATTCTCTTGCATTTGAATAAAACATTCCAAATGCAAGGTTTAGATGATTGACTTTTTAGTTCAAATTGACAAAGATTTGGACTGTTGAAAGATGAGAATGAAAACATATTTCCATTGTCCATTGGGAACTGAATCCCTCAGTTTTATGCAGGTGCACTTGAAACTCAAAAACCATACAGAGAGAGAATTGGGCCCCTTCGAGGTTTGGTTATCACAAAATGATTCACTAGATGAGAAGGCTGTTATGATCAATGGCCTTCAGTCTTTGGTAATACTTTTAAATTGGTTTCAAGCATCTCCTTTGCTAAATAATTACACAGATTCTAGTTGAAGGCATTTTGTTGCTATAAACAATGCTGATGCCTGATTGCTGAATTTAAAAATCTACTTAATATTTTGCAATAGCTATCACACATATGAACTGCATGCTTATAGTGAACCCCAGTTTTATTTCAAACTGGGTTTGTGTCCTCAAATTTGTTGTGACATTTAGATTTAACTTTAGGGCTAGGAAAAGCGTTAACTTACAATATTCCTGTTAAAATGTTTGACTCTTCAAGAATGATTAGGATGAGTACATGGTCTAATTTGATTAAAGCATGTTGGGAACAGGGACTGTTATGAAGAAACTTACACATTGGAATAATTATTTTCTAACTATACAGAAGGGTCTTAACTTTTTGTATTGCTGATATGCGGATATGACATCTGTGCACAGGAGTTACAAGAATTGGGGGCATTGGGAACCACTGATTTCCACCTGGTATGAAGAAATCCGACCCTTACCTTCCAAATCAATTCATTTTTTGTATTATGGTTGAATATAATTTATTTGCAACTAAAAAATTCCATCACTTTATGATGCTGATTGCTGAGAATGGAAAACTTGTGTAAGATTTTGAATGTATAGGTTTTGGCCTAAAAATTAGTAGGAAAGGTTTAGAAAATTATTTGTGAAATTAATTATTGCCAGCAATATGGTAACTGATGCAATGTTTTTCTTTATTCTAATATTTGACCCTTATCATCATTGAGGTTTGTTGATGGTAGAGATCAAGTGTGATTTCTTTATGCCGCTTTCATTTCTGCAGAACCTGATTGCTATTAAACTTGGAGTCCAGAAAATAACAGGCATTACAGTGTTCGACAAAAAAGAGAAGAAAACTTATGACCCGTTGCCTGATTTAGAGGTTGGTTTCTAGAGTAGTTTACTTGTTTTGGATATCACTAGCATTTTTTGAATGCCATATGTTGATTTTTACTGGTCTTCTATGTAAAATTGGACGTTCTAGGATTTAAATCCTGCAGGTTCTCATTTAATTCCGATTCTTGCAGATTTTTGTGGACGTAGATTGATCTATTTGTTGCCTCTGAACTGGTTTCATCCATGGAGCCAAAGGTGTTGATAAATCGAAGTGCATACTTGGATATTGGAATATGCTTTTTTTTTTTTTTGCTGAAGTTGGGAAAAGTACTGAACTAGCTTGTTTAAATGGTCTCTCTTAAATTTTATATGTGGAAAAGGTACTGGAAACTAGCCTTGTTAAAGTGTCTCTTCTTAATGTTCTATATTATATATTAATATATTATATATATATTATTATATATATATATATATATATATATTTTAATCCAAGCAAATCAAAGTGAATGATTTTAGATTTTACATAATGCTTTAAAGAAAGAATATCGTATCTGTGTCTATAAAGAAATATTAACAGGAGAGAGGGAGAGAGGGAGAAGAGATGCTCAAATGATAAACTTGAATTACCAAAGCATGATTACAAAGAAAAGATAAAGTCGAATTTTGAAAAGCATCAGAAAATATAAACAAGATTCAGAAAGAGAGACAAAGTAAAACGAAGACAGTATAATTAATTCTAGGTCAGGCTGTTTATCCCGATTTGATTAGTTAAGCGCAAAGCATTTAGACTTGAGAACCACTGAGAGCCCAATTGGCTTCACTGCCAACACGAGGCATGGTGCTTATCCTTGACTGACTATCAACCTTGAAATTAGCTCCGCACATTACTCCTTCACTATCAATTCTTGGCATTGCCTTCATTTTGCTCTTTGGATGCTCAAAACTCATCAACCCTTGTTCACTATGGAACATGCACCCTTTTGGAAATGGTGCAAATGACTTTGCACAGCTTCCTTTTATGCCCTCCAAGTTGTCAGATATTACAACAGAACCATCACCTGCAATTCCCCAGTACATTTCCACCCCTTCTTCTGCACCCTGAACCAAACAAGACATTTCAATATTGGTTTTCATTTTTCTATTAGAAAAAAGAAAAAAGAAATGATACCCATTTCAAAGAGGAAGACTTACCAGAGCAGCAAAGACATGTCCAGCTTTAGTGTCATAAACCACAAATCCGAAAGTGCCCTCCAAATCCTTGAGGACTTGATGGGCCGGGTATGGCCCACGGTCACGTAAGGTCCTATATGCTTCAATTACAAACATAGCCTCATTGGTTCCTTTTGATAGCCCATACTGTCTAATAAGGCTACACAAGTTGTTTAAGCTCCCCAAGAAAATGCAGTACATGTCATTCAATCCACAGAATAACCTGCAATCAAATCATTATATTAACTCCTAATCCAAATACCCAAATAGCTTCAAAATCAAATAAGTTGAAACCCTAAGAGACACCTAATCACTTACCTCTGGTTAACAAAGTGATGATTTTTAGGTGGAATATAGGCGAGAGAAGCAGCACCACCAAAGCTAATACAGAACGCATTAGAAGGATCAGAAGAAACAAAATCTTGAAGAATTTGCTGAGGAAACTTTGGCTTTCTTGATGATGCTAAAGAAGCTGGGCTATGCAGCTCCTGTGGTGGATTCACTAACTGTTTGTTGAATATTGCCAACATTTTTTCTTCTTTTCTTACAACAAAATCCTGAAACAGATCTTAAAACCAAAACAGAGTACCCAAACTGTAATATGCTGAAACAGTTACTGATGCTTCAAGAAATGGATTTATGCCTTGTATTTATAGTGTTAGGAAGAGAGAGAAAATTATAATATTGCATAGCGTGGCAACATTATCCAAACTCGAAATCCGAGGCCTAGATTTAGAAGACGTGTCGCTGGCAGTTTGTTGAGTTGGATTTTACTACTCTAGTTCGTCAAGATTGTGGATTTTATCATATAAGGTTGTTTTTACGTCTATGTAATTGTATTTGTATTTGGCTCGATACTTTCTTCAGATCTAACGGTTCATAATTATTTTGAGCTCATATGCATAAAAATTAATATGGACTAATACGCATGGAATCAATTTTATTTTATAATAAAAGGACAATCTTTATCCATAAAGAATTGATGACTCTTTTAAATTTGTAATAGCATGTGACTGTACTTCGTAAAATGTTACGCACGTTATGGGTCGGGTTGGATGGATTCGGATCTTATAATGACGAAAATTTGCGCATATAAAGCTTGACTTTGATATGGATCCGGGTCATAGAAAGATTTGCTACACACTGGACCGGCTTGTATTAAACTATTTTATTTTTTGAATTAGGTGTAAAGATTGAAGAGTGGTCCCCAAATCTGACGGTGCACCATGTTGTGATAATTATTGTTGGGAATTTTTTTAGTTTATGACAGGATAATAATAATAAACTATTTCCAAGATCGTTCCTCACCATTTGACTTAGGTAGGGAATACAGGGGCTAAGGATCTTATCCAATACGGACAACTAAAAGTGGTAAAGTGGTTGAACCAAAAGTGACTGTGATCTGAGTCAGCAAATGCTCGTGGATACGTGTAATTACCATTTTGGTTAGAAGTTGAAGCCGGAAATAATATTGAGAGTTGGTTTGGATTAATGAAATTGTAGAATCCATGAATTTTGTAAAAAATTCATATAATTTTACATTATACTCCCATTTGGTCGAAAACGTATACTAATACATAGATTTAAAAGATATTATGCCTTTTTCATTTAAAAATAAATATTTTTTTCTTAATTGTCTAATTTGAAACTTTTTCTTGTATGTTTCACCCATTGAATTATTTTTATTTCTTTTTTAATAATAATAATAATAATAATATAATATTACTGGACTCTTGTTGAGCCGTTGCTTTTGTGCTGGGCTTTCGGTTTGGATATGGAGAGTAGTTTTAAATTGGGAAACAAATGTAATCCTTAGGCCCAAACTTAATTAAAGACCGCATCTTAAATGGCCGTAGCCTCCTGTGGGCTTCAGAAGGCGATTGAGATTGTATTCAGCTTTGAGAATGCTTTGGACTTGATGGAGATTATAAGAGGACAGCCCATATTTTTTTTTTCACCTTCTTTTCTTATATACTTTTTATATTAGAAATTCTTTAGCGTTGAGAAGTTGTTAGCGCTTCAAAGCGGTGGCTTGCGGTACGTTTGAAAACTTTCCTTTCATTCTCGCTTTAATATTGATATATAGGTAGAGATAAATATAAATATAAATATAAATATAATAAATTTTACAATAAACATTTTAAGTATGATTTGTGTCAGGTACAATTACAGTGCAAACAGAGTAAGAGGACTGTGCAAACAGGTACAATATATCTTTATTTCAGATTTGATATGTTTTTCCTTGTTTCAATGTAATATTGTAACTTCTCCCTTTTGTTCTTTAAATTGATTTAAGCACGTTAGAATTTGATGATGGCGTGACATAGATTGATATATATCATTCCTTGAGGAATTTGAGTCAAATTTGTCTAGCGACCAAGCCAGCCAGACCCACGCCTCGTACGTACCGTACCCAAAAGTCCACACGCGCGGACAAGACCAAACAAAACAATAGCGAGTCGTTTGTCTCCTTCCTAATCAAAACGATTTCCTGCGCTCCTTTTGTCCTTATATCATACCCTCTTATCTAATGCCAGCAAACGCGGCATACACACGCAGTGGACGATAAGCGGACGCGTGTCCTTTCACCGCCAGTTTGCACATGCACAGATAGATAGAGTGCTTTGGAGTAACGCCCATTATTCTGTTGTTTTATTGTACATATTTTTATCTGGCACGTGGGAGAAACAAGGTAGGCCCACAGAATTCAGCGCAGAACACGTCACTGCTGACGAGGAATTGGATGGAGAATGGCCCTTACTGTTCATGTTAAGGGTCATATGGACCCTTCTAATTTTGTGCTTTGGAGGCAGTAGCCTGTTGCCCTAGCCAACGAGGTCATTTTCGAAAAACAGCCACTATCTTGTTTATAGTTTTGAGGAGATACTAGATTCGTGTATATCTCTACCTTTTCTTTTCTTTTCTTTTTTTTTTTTTTTTTTTTTTTTTTTTTTTTTTTTTTTTTTGTTCCCTACCGTTTTGAAAATAGTCTTAACCTTTTTTTTTTTTTTTTTTTTTTTTTTTTTTTGTTCCCTACCCGTTTTTGAAAATAGTCTAACATCTCCATGGGCCTTATGAAATTATTATTTTTGTCATTAGTTAAATCTACACATAAATATTTAACGGAATGATCTGATTAGTCTTATTATATCTTGTAAAATATGTATATGAAAAGTCTCAACTTTTATTAAATACTAAATTAAAACTTTCAGGTAATAAAAATCATACACAAAATAATTATCTAAATCAATAGAATAAAATCGTCGTAACCAAATGCTATTAACAACATTTTAGATAATTTGTTAGATATCCTTCATTGTTAGAACAAGCCACTTTAATTGACAATAATTTTGTTTAGACATTCTCTTTCCAGCGATCATGTGGCACGAGAGTTCATTAGCTGAAAGTATCACTAGCTTACGTCTTAACCTGAATAGCACAAGTTTCGAATCAGTGGATGCTATAAAAATAAAGCAACCAACGGCGAACTTGACTAAGTCTCATGCCCTCTTTACCTCCCCATATTTTTTGTTTTTATCTAAAAAATAAAATTGTATATATTCTATTGGCTAGTTTTAATATCACTTGCGCAATGAGGTAATTAAGACTCCAATCATAGCTATCTATGTAATTAATTTGCAATTAGCTACACTTAATTGCTTTGTTATTTAGGATAGTGAAAATCCACAATAAGAAAAGATAATCTGGTTGGGATTTGTTTCACTTTTAAAATCGTTTGGATTGGATTAAAAATTAGATTTTAGAAGTTGGGTTGCTGTCATTTTCTGCTTTCTTCTTCCTCTTGGTATTTTATGAATTCATCATTCATTTTAAAAGTTCTGTTAAGCTAACTGTGCTCCAAGCGGGGAGGAAATCAACTTTTCTGTTCCTGAAAGGTGATAAATAAATAAAAGAAAAAAGGATTAGGTCTTTATTTGGCTATAAAATCAGTCAACTTTATTAGCTATTAATAATAAAATTCTATATTTGGTATATAAATTTATTCGTAATTCTTAATATTATTATAAATGAATTATATTTTTTAAAAATTGATGAAGAGCTTTGTGTTCTATTCATAGTCAAATTTGTACAGTAAATTAAGATACACAGTATCTATATAAAAATCTGAAAGATACACAGTATCTATATAAAAATCTGTTTCTTTGTCAATTACACAAAATTTAGGTCAAATCACCAAAGAATTAATATATACGTCGTCATATTTCCATTCCCTGTGCGAGATGAAAGTATGAAACGAAACGGATAGTTCGTACCTATTACGTAATTACATTGCATCCATTATTAATTGCTTAAAAGCTGATTTAACTGATCAAAATTTGTCGCTTATCGAAGATAATTGTCGTTTGCAGCTTGATTGATGGTATATACATAGAGGACTAAAAACATATTGAAAACAGAACTTCAAACGTAAAAGTATTATCGTGCAAAAAAAGTGAATAGTGTTCAGAAACGTTTTAAAAATATCTACTTATACACACACGCACGACACGAGCATCATATTAATTAATCGTATAAAAATATACAAATTTTAATACGACATGAAATATAAATGAATTATGTAAAATTATATATATTTATTTAAATTATTTATGGAAGTAATAAAACGCAACACGGCTCATGGAATGCCAAATGTAGATGATTGAGAGTTTAGTTATATGTGATGATATTAAAGGGTATATAGGTGTGAGGCAATGGATATTCAGAAAAGGGGTACTATTTTAATTGGTCTTTCACCTAAGAAATTGATGTAAGCTTGCTTGGACTTTCTACATTATGGAATTTGGCAGTTGGCAACTTGTGTTTGATAGTTTGACTATTGACAATTACTGTGTCAAATTACGAGTTTTAAACAAAAGGCTGCTAACTGCCACAGTTGAACCAATCTACAAATTGTAATAATCTAATTATCTCGACCCTCTAAACACCTAAATTAATTGTATTCTATTTGTTCTTAAATCTTATTAAACCTTTTTTTTTTTCTCTCATCCCTTTGGGTTCTTTAAGTGTTTTATTTTACAAGTAAATATTTATTACATTTGAAAAAATAATTTATTTCAAAATACTTGTCGCATTTATAGTTTTAAAGAGTAATAAATATATTTTTTTTCATATTTACCTTTTATATATAACCAATAATTTTTATTTCTATTTAATGGTTTTCTTAGAGAATTAGCATTAAATTAAATGTAATATAATTAATTTACTCAATAGTTTATTGTAACTTAATGATTTCT